TAATGATCAGTGATGATGAGCATTTTTTCCTATGTCTGTTGGCTGCATAAATGTCTTCTTTTCAGAAGTGTCTGTTCGTATCCTTTGCCCACTTTTTGATGGGGTTGTTTTTTTCTTGTAAATTTAAGTTCTTTGTAGATTCTGGATATTAGCCTTTTGTCAGATGGATAGATTGCAACAATTTTCTCCCATTCTGTAGGCTGCCTGTTCACTCTGATGATAGTTTCTTTTGCTGTGCAGAAGCCCTTTAGTTTGATTAGATCCTATTTGTCAATGTTGACTTTTGTTGCCATTGCTTTTGGTGTTTTAGACATGAAATCTTTGCCCATAATTATGTCCTGAATGGTATTGCCCAAATTTTCTTCTAGGATTTGTATGGTCCTACATCTAACATTTAAATCTTTGATCCATCTTGAGTTGATTTTTGTATAAGGTGTAAGAAAGGGGTCCAGTCTCAGTTTTCTCTATATAGCTGGCCAGTTTTCCCAACACCATTTATTAAATAGGGAATCTTTTCCCCATTGCTTGCTTTTGTCAGGTTTGTCAAAGATCAGATGGCTGTAGATGTGTGGTATTATATCTGAGGCCTCTATTCTGTTCTATTGATCTATATGTCTGTTTTGGTACCAGTACCATGCTGTTTTGGTTACTGTAGGCTTGTAGTATAGTTTGAAGTCAGGTAGCATGATGCCTCCAGCTTTGTTCTTCTTACCCAGGATTGTCTTGGGTATGCAGCTCTTTTTGGTTCTATATGAAGTTTAAAGTAGTTTTTTCCAATTCTGTGAAGAAAGTCAATGGTAGCTTGATGGTGATGACATTGAATCTATAAATTACCTTGGGCAGTATGGCCATTTTCACAATATTGATTCTTCATATCCATGAGCATGGAATGTTTTTTCATTTCTTTGTGTACTCTTTTATTTCCTTGAGTTTTTGGTTCTCCTTGAAGATGTGAACAAGGGTTCACATCCCTTGTAAGTTGTATTCATAGGTATTTTATTCTCTTAGTAGCAATTGTGAATGGGAGTTCACTCATTATTTGTCTCTGTTTATCTGTTATTGGTGTATAGGAATGTTTGTGATTTTTGCGCATTGATTTTGTATCCTGAGACATTGCTGAAGTTGCTTATCAGCATAAGGAGATTGTGGACTGACACCATAGGCTTTTTGAAATATACAGTCATGTCATCTGCAAACAGACACAATTTGACTTTCTCTCTTACTATTTGAATACCCTTTATTTCTTTCTCTTGCCTGATTGCCCTGGCCAGAACTTCCAATACTATGTTGAATAGCAGTAGTGAGAGAGTGCATCCTTGTCTTGTGCCGGTTTTCAAAGAGAATGCTTCCAGTTTTTGCTCATTCAAATGATATTGGCTATGGGTTTGTCATAAATAGCTCTTACTATTTTGAAATACATTTCATCAATACCTAGTTTATTGAGAATTTTTAGCATGAAGGGATGTTGAATTTTGTCAATGGCCTTTTCTGCATCTATTGAGATAACCATGTGGTTTTTGTCATTGGTTCTGTTTATGTGATGGATTACATTTATTGATTTGTGTATGTTGAACCAGCCTTGCATCCCAGGGATGAAACTGACTTGATTGTGGTGGTTAAGCTTTTTGATGTGCTGCTGGATTCAGTTTGTTTTTGCAGTGGCTGGTACCGGTTGTTCCTTTCCAAGTTTAGTGCCTCCTTCAGGAGCTCTTGTAAGGCAGGCCTGGTTGTGATAAAATCTCTCAGCATTTGCTTGTTTGTAAAGGATTTTATTTCTAGTTCACTTATGAAGCTTAGTTTGGCTGGATATGAAATTCTGAGTTGAAAATGATTTTCTTTAAGAATGTTGAATATTGGCGCCCACTCTCTTCCGGTTTGTAGGGTTTCTTCCAAGAGATCTGCTGTTAGTCTGATGGGCTTCCCTTTGTAGATAACTCAACCTTTCTCTCTCGCTGCCCTTAACATTTTTTCCTTCATTTCAACCTTGATGAATCTGACGATTAGGTGTCTTGGGGTTGCTCTTCTTGAGGAGTAACTTTGTGGTATTCTCTGTATTTCCTGAATTTGAATGTTGGCCTGTCTGGCTAGTTTGGGGAAGTTCTCCTGGATAATATCCTGCAGAGTGTTTTCCAACTTGGTTCCATTCTCCTTGTCACTTTCAGGTACACCAATCAAACGTAGATTTGGTCTTTTCATATAGTCCCATATTTCTTGGAGTCTTTGTTCGTTCTTTTTTATTCTTTTTTCTCTAGAACTTCTCTTCTCTCTTTCTTTAAGATGATCTTTAATCACTGATATCCTTTCTTCGCCTTGATTAATTTGGCTATTTATACTTGTGTATGCTTCACAAAGTTCCTATGCTGTGTTTTTCAGCTCCATCAGGTCATTTATGTTCTTCTCCACACTGGTTATTCTAGTTAGCAATTCATCTAACCTTTTTTTCAAGGTTCTCAGCTTCCTTGCACTGGGTTAGAACATGCTCCGATAGCTCGGATGAGTTTGTTATTACCCATCTTCTGAAGGCTACTTCTGTCAGTTTGTTAAACTCATTCTTCATCCAGTTTTGTTCCCTTGTTGGTGAGGAGTTGTGATCCTTTGGAGAAGAAGAGGCGTTCTGGTTTTTGGAATTCTCAGCCTTTTTGCACTAGTTTCTCCCCATCTTTGTGGATTCATCTACCTTTTGTCTGTGATGCTGGTGACCTTACGATGGGGTCTTTGAGTGTATGTGCTATTCTTTTCTGTTTGTTAGTTTTCCTTCTAACATGTCCCTCTGCTGCTGGTCTGCTGGAGTTTGCTGGAGGTCCACTCCCAACCCTGTTTGCCTGGGTATCACCAGCGGAGGCTGCAGAACAGCAAAGATTGCTGCCTGTTCTTTCCTCTGGAAGCTTTGTCCTAGAGGAGCACCTGCCAGATGCCAACCAGAGCTCTCCTGTATGAAGTGTCTGTCAGCCCCTAGTGGGAGGTGTCTCCCAGTCAGGATATACGGGGGGTCAGGGACCCACGTGAGGAGGCAGTCCGACCCTTAGCAGAGCTTGAATGCTGTGCTGGGAGGTCTGCTGCTCTCTTCAGTCATCAGGAAGGGATGTTTAAGTCTGCTATAAATCCCAGACTGGGGCTGCTACCTTTTTTTCAGAGATGCCCTGCCCAGAGAGGAGGAATCTAGCAGTCTGGTCACAGCAGCCTTGCTGAGCTGCAGTGGGTGCCACCCAGTTCAAATTTCTGAGCAGCTTTGCACTGTGAGTGTAAAACCACCTACTCAAGCCTCAGCAATGGTGGACACCCCTCCCCTCCACCAAGCTTGAGTACCTTAGGTCGATCTCAGACTGCTACTGTGCTGGCAGCGAGAATTTCAAGCCAGTGGATTTTAGTTTCCTGGGCTCTGTGGAGGTGGGACCCACCAAGCCAGACCTCTTGGCTCCCTGGCTTCAGCACCCCTTTCCAGGGGAGTGAACGGTTCTGTCTTGCTGGCATTCCAGGCACCACTGGGGTATGGAAAAAAAATAACTCCTGCAGCTAGTTCGGTGCCTGCCCAAATGGCCACTCAGTTTTTTGCTTGAAACCCAGGGCCTCAGTGGGGTAGGCATCCGAGGGTATCTCCTGATTTGCCGGTTGCAGACTGTGGGACAAGCGCAGTATCTGTGCCAGAGTTCCTCAGGCTCAGTCACTCATGGCTTCCCTTGGGTAAGACAGCAAATTACCAAACTTCATGTTCTAGCCGGGTGAGGTGACAACCTATCCTGCTTCAGCTCACCCTCCATGGGCTGCACTCACTGTCCAACCAGTCCCAGTGAGATGAACCTGGTACCTCAGTTGGAAATGCAGAAATCATTCGCCTTCTGCATCAATCTCGCTGGGAGCTGCAGACTGCAGCTGCTCCTATTTGGCCATCTTGCCAGCAATCTCTCTTTTTTCTTTCTTATTGACACATGGTCTTGCTTTGTCATCCAGGCTGGAGTGCAGTGGCACAATTACAGCTCACTGCAGCTTCAAGCTCTGGGGCTCAGGCAATTGTCCCAACTCAGCCTCCTGAGTAGCTGGGACTGTAGGCATGCGCTACCATGTTGGACTATTTTGTTGTTTTTTTGTAGAGGATGTCCCTATGTTGCACAGGCTGGTCTCTAGCAATCTGCCCACCTCAGCCTCCCAAAGTTCTAGGATAATACGTGTGAGCCACTGTGCCCAGTTCAAAAGTTTCTTAATGCATATCCTCAATTCTGTACTACCAGTGAATTTCTACCCTGGCTACACACATGAGGGTAAATGTCACAAGGGGATATTTTAAAATATAGTCCTAGATTCCTACCCCAGATCAATTAAATCAAAATCTCTGGAAGGTGAGACCTGGAGTGGGTGTGTGTGTGTGGGTGTGTGTGTGCATTTTAAATTCCTTCATATGAGATCATAGTTGAAAATCAATTACCCACACTGATGAGTTAGCTAAATAAGAGAAATTGATTCTTCTTTTCCTCTAGTTACTTAGCCATAAAGCCCTAAAATTGACTTTTTAATACTAAATTAATGTATTTACAAAATCTTTACATTGAAAAAAACTTTCCTTGAGGCATTTAGATTTCAATACCACAGTACATTTAGAAAACCTGTGATTTTCATAGAGTAATTTATTTAATACTTCTTTTTCTTTCTCCAACATTTCTTTTTTACCCTCTGAAGTATTTTATCTTAATTATTGAAGGTACTGGGAAATGGTTTAGAAAATCTTGCATGAAGGCCTTTCTTTCTCTCTACTTATTTGACGTAACTTCTCTGAACTTTTTTCTCTTGTTGTACCAGCTCTGAGGCCTGTTGCCCTTTCAGTAGCTTAGTTTAAAAGGTCGGTGATGGGGCTCAGAATATCCTATCCCAAAATATGATGCCTTGGTATGATGTATATTTTAAACTGAAAGAATTTGAGAAAACTAAAGGATCAGGAAAGTCTCTCTGACCTTTTCCCACTGCTCTCCCCTAAAGCAGGTCATAAAACCTAGGAAGGATTTTCTGACCTTTTCCTGAAGCAGGTCATAAGACCCTCATGTGAGAGGTGTCCTCCTATGCCTGGAGGAAAGGAACATCCAGGAGCCGATCATAATCTGGAAAGACACAATCCTGAATGCCGTAATTCCAAACGCTGAAACCCTAAGTGATTATAATCCTGAAAATATAAGTGTGGAAAAAAACATTTAAAAATTTCTTTAAGAGATATTTACATACATTTTTAAAGGGAATTTATTTGAAAAACATATAAAAACATAACAGAACCCTTCATAGGCCACTTTACACAATAAAATCAGCAATAATAATATACATAGTTTTATAAGCATAAACATTGAGGTACACTAAGCACAGTTGCACAAGTATAACAGTTATGGGTAGATGAACCATATTCATAAAGAAATAGGTCAAAAAGGGAACTGTACAAACACATATTACTATGGCTGCTAGTTGTGTGCAAACCGCTTTGTAACTGCAGTTATTTGAAATACCATGACGAACAACCTAAGTCTTTTGAAAAGATTGATCAAAAACTGTGATGGGGCCAGGCGCAGTTGCTCACACCTGTAATCCTAACACTTTGGGGGTCTGAGGCAGCAGGATCCCTTGAGGCCAGGAGTTGAAGATCAGCATAGGCAACATAGTGAGACACTGCCTCTATGAAAAATTTAAAAATTAGCTGGACATAGTAGCACATTCCTGTAATCCTAACTAGTGGGGAAGCTGAAGTGCAAGGATCCTTTGAGCCCAGCAGTGCAAGGCTTTAGTGAGCTATGATCTAGCCACTGCACTCCTGTACTTCAGCCTGGGCAACAGAGTGAGACCACGTTGCTAAAAAACAACAACAATGAACAAACAAAAAAACTACAATGGGTGACCAACACATATGCCGTTGCCCCAAAGGCTAAGATCTCCAGAAATTATATCTTTCACAAATGCATGTGTACAAAACGACATCTCTTCATTTATTGAGGAAGTTTCAACATTTTTATGTATATACACAGTGCTTACACACAAAGTGTTGTGATAATGCACTTTCATGCAGTCAAATTTGTGGAAAAAATGCATAAAATGAATTAGAACTCTCTAAAAGTCTCTACATAATTGATACCTCCAGTATTGGAAATGATGTTAAGAGGAAATACATAGCATAGCAAATTGCTTTGTTAGGTTTCCAGGTAATCCTTAATCCAGTCAAGTTGACACCTAAAATTAAGTCCACAAGTCCACCTCTTCTCAACTTGGCACCCATATTCATCTCCTAAAACCATACTTAATTTCAAAGACAATAACAAGGTAATAGCTCTGCCTAACATGATGCAACTATCCTGTGGTTGTGATTTTGGGGATTTGGGATGTTAGAGATTTTAGACTTTTGGGATTTTAACATTCAGAATTATGGTGTTCAGGATTGTGTGTTTCAAGATTATGATCCAAACCTGGAGCCCCCTTATCTCCAGAGACACAAAGATGCCAAGAAGAATTTAAACAAAGAGGCCTTGCTAAGTTTTCCCCAGTTTATTACCATTAGATTATATCCATTTTGTCTCATCATATTTAACTTCATGAAATCTACTATAAAGAAACATTCAGGCCTGGCATGGTGGCTCATGCCTGTAATCCAAGTGCTTTGGGGGGCTCAATGTGGGAGAATCACTTGAGGCAAGGAGTTGGAGGCCAGCCCAGGCAACATACCAAGACCTCATCTCTTCAAAAAAATTTTTAAAATTCGCTGGGAGTGGTGGTACATGCCCGTAGCCCCAGCTACTTGGGAGGCTGAGGCAGGAGAATCTCTGGAGCCAAGGAGTTTGAGGCTGCAGTGAACTGTGATCATACCATTGCACTCTAGCCTGGGGTAAAGAGAGAGATCCTGTCTTAAAACACAAAAAAGAAAACAAACAAACAAAAAAAAAAAAGAGAGAGAGAGAAAGAGATTTAACTGTCTTTTTGGGTCTTCATTTCTTCATAAAGGCTCTCGTGTCATGTAAAACTTACTAAGTGAATTTGTATGCTTTCCTTCTACTAATCTCTCTTCATCAGTTTGATTTTTTATTTTAAGTTTAATATGTTTAATATATTTAATATATAATAGATAACATATATAATATGTTTTAAGTTTAATATATTGTATATTTTAAGCAGAACATGCAGGTTTCTTACATAGGTACACACGTGCCATGGTGATTTGCTGCACCCATCAACCTATGACCTACATTAGGTTCAGTTTGATTTTTAGACCTAGCCAGTGACCCTAAAATTGTTGAGCAAAACCTTTCCTCCTCTACGTCAGATTGGTGGAATCCAGATCCTCAAACATCTTGGGAATTTTTACATAAATTTACTGTTTATTTCCACTAAAATTATTCTCTTTGTGTTGTCTTTCCTTATTTTATTTATTTACCTGTAGTTTTTCTGGCTTTGTTTTAAGATTTTTCATGGAGCTTCTCTAATTTCCCCAGGAGTATTTTTATTTCCTCCTACTCTTAAAGACCTAAGACACTGCTTTTAAGTAAGTTCTACCATTTTATTCATTTTAGTTTTGAAGATCTTAAAGAGTCTTTATGAAGATTTTAGGGGTTCTGGAAAATTACTTAGGAGAATTTTAAGAAGAAATTATTATTTCATTTGCCAATTTTATATTCTTAATGACCTTAGTGAGTTTTTCTTTTTTTTTTTTTTTTTTTTTAAAATGAGAGGCTTCAAAGTAATTTGATTTTTATTTTACTTCATATTTTCTTTCTTGGTAGCCTGACTGTAAAAACAGAAGCTGAAAATTTCAGATGAGGCTCTTAGGAATTCTTGAAGCTGCCCTTGAATCTACTTCTTTCTCTTCTATCTAAGAGAGGTTTTCTTCCCACTCTGGGATAGAGTTTTTAATGAAGTTTTCTCCCTCTCCTAATAGCCTAGTTTTAAAATGAAGGGTGGATTCCTTAAACATGAAAATTTTTCAGAGCACACTTCTTCTTCTTCACCTTTAATAGATGCTGGCTTCTTATAAAAAATCTGCTTTAGCATCTTAAAGGCACTGGGGAATTAATTATTGAGGAAGTTCTGCATGGAGCTTACAGTCTTCTTTTCCACTTCAAGTACCCTGTTCTTTCTGCAAACCTGAGATGGTGTTCTCTGATGAGGAACAACATCATGTAATGAGAAGTGTTGAGTGAACCTAACTCTGCCTTGTGGTTGTGAAATTGAAGTGAGATGAAAGAACATGGGTTTTAGAGTCAGAATACAGAGTTTGAGTTTTCTATCACCATCACCTGTTAACCGCATATTTCTAATAGATTCACTTAGTCTCTCTCCGCCTCATTTCCTTCATCTGTTGCTGAGGGAATCATATCTATTCCCACAGAGTTGTTGGGAAAATTAAATTTTATGATGATGGCATTCAGGCTGAATATTTTTGGCTGAAGGAATTTGAGAAAACATCAGAAACAGGAAGGTCACTCTCACCTTCTCCTTGCCCTTCTCCCCTGAATCAGGTCATAAAACCTCCTTTGGGAGGTCTGACCTCCCAAAGACCCGCATGTGAGAAGTGTATTCCCTATACCTGGAGGAAAGGATCATCCTTGTCTCTGAAGACCCAAACATATAAAAAGTAATCTGAAAAAATAAAAAGGCCTTGCTAAGTTTCCCCAGTGTATGACATAAGGTTCACTCTCTTTACCCAATCATGTTTCTCCATGACTCACCATTCTTCATTGAAATTACAAATTTTAAAACTCTGGTTTAACTGTTCCTTTCGGTCTGCATTTCCTTACGAAGGTTCCCATGTCACATTTAATGTGTATTAAATAAAGTTTTACGCTTTTTTTTGTAACTTTGTCAGTTTTCCTTTCTGACCCAGACAGGGACACATGCAGCTCCCTCAAGCTTTACTTTTGCATTCAAAAATGTTGGTTAAATTGGACAATTTGTGTTAAGCTTCTTTCTCTTCATCTCCTTTCCTGCCCAATCTCAAAGGAATAAGGAAAGAAGTAGATTTAGTAAATAGCACTAGGGCTGTTCTTTGGAAAAATTGTAAAGTAGGTACTTGTGTTTGGGTTCTTCAGTGACTTTCTGTGCTGTCCCCCAAATTTCCCCATGCCTCCGGCCTCTCCCTGTTTTCTTGCTCCCTCTGCAGGAACCAAGTGCCACCCCTGCTTTCTTTTCTTTTTCAGTTTTTAGATTCGGGAGGTACATGTGCAGGTTTGTTACCTGGGTATATTGCATGATGCTAAGGTTTGGAGTATGAATGATTCCTTTACCCAGGTACTAAGCATAGTACCCAACAGTTAGTTTTTCAACCTTTGTCTCTCCTCCCTCCCTCTTGCAGTCTCCTGTGTCTGTTGTTCCATCTTTATGTCCATGAGTACCCGATGTTTAGCACCCACTTTTAAGTTAGAATGTGTGATATTTGGTTTTCTGTTTCTGTATTAACTTGCTTAGTAATGGCCTCCAGCTGCATCCATGTTGCTGCAAAGGATATGATTTCATTCTTTTTATGACTGCATAGTATTCCATGGTGAGTAAGTACCGCATTTTCTTTATCCAGTTCATCATTGATGGGCACCTAGGTTGATTCCATGTCTTTGCTATTGTGAATTGTGCTGTGATGAACATGTGAATGTGTGTGTCTTTTTGGTAGAAAGACTTATTTTCTGTTGGATATATGCCCAATAGTGGGACTGCCAGGTCAAAAGGTAGTTGTAAGTTCTTTGAGAAATCTCCAAACTACTTTTCCACAGTGGCTGAATTGAATTCCTATCAACAGTGTGTAAGCATTCCCTTTTCTCTGCAGCCTTGCCAATATCTGTTGTTTTTAGACTTTTTAATAATAGTCATTCTGACTCCCACATAGCTTTCTAGGACAGTGATTCACAATGTTTTCAAACACTTTTGTTTACTTATTCATTAAAATAAATATGAAAATCTATGAACACTCTTGCTCCTTTCTGACAACTATAATTTTATCATGTATTTAAATAAGTGTATTTATTTTTAATAGAAGATACAAAATCTTACATATTTTTTAAATAAAATGGGATGATTGAGTAAAATTGAAATCAATCTTTCAAGGTAGCATTTAATGAAATGGTTCTAAACTACATTTTTGAATAAGTATATCCCATCTGAGGAAGTGATGTTAACTTTTTATCTGTGGATTTCATTTCAAATACTT